GAAGGAGCGAATGGCAGTTATCAACTACGGCGTTCCTTCCTGTTCGATCTGAGTTGTTGTTAGTGGGGTAGTTGCGCCTGGCCTGTGCAACATGATTGGCTGATTTTCGACGGAAGACCGTTGCACAGACCACCAACGCTGCAACTCTGCAACCACCGACCTCACCTTCCACCCCGCGCGTCAACTGTCCATGCTTAACCCCTCAACAACACACTTCCCTCACTCACAGACCGTCAGCCTGCCTCAAGTTGCGACACCAGCTTTGACGGGCTGGGAAATGTTGCATAGGCTTGGCTATACTGCTAGCCTTAGTTATTGACTGGTTATTTCCTCACGACACCAACTAGGTGCGGCTGGTCAACCGACGGACACCCTGCCGAGAAACCGACAGCGTCACCGCCACAATTTCAACGAATTTCACAAGCATTCACTCGGTATGAACCATCGACTTCACCTCCACCGAGTTCGATTACTAACCTTTTTTGAATTAGATAAATCCAAGGGTAACGATGGCTGCAGTCGCTCCAGTCGAGGAAGGCACCGGCCCTCCACCTGCACCTTCCACCCAGACTGTACCCACTCCTCCCCGGCAACGCACTCCTGGAAAGTACTTCGCCTGGGTCAACAAAAACGTCCTCGGCCTTCTCGCAATCTGGTCCAAGAGACCTCAGGCTCTCGATGAGTCCACCCCTCGCGTGGTCGAGAAGAAGCAGGAATTCGCAGACTATTTCAACTACGTCGAGGCTTGCAAGCAAGCCTTCCCGAATGCCCTTCCCCGCGAGCTTTGCTCCGTCGACACGGCCCATCAACGTCTGACTAGTGGTCTGAAGATTGTATGCGATCCTGAGAAGTCTGTTCAGCAACGCTACTTCTCTGATGAGGACAAGCGTCGCGCCCAGGATCTCTATGATTGGGCCCAGAGGGCGGATGTGCTTGCCCTGACTCCGCCGGCCAGCGACAACGAGACCACGGCCGTAGTCAATACTCGTCGCTCTCTCACCGGAGCTTACAATGCGGACAGTGACGGCAAATACCCCATTCGCAAGCCTGCTCCCGCCCACCCAGTCTGGGGCCGAAGGGGCATCATGCACGGTGTCGCACTCACTGGCATGAAAGGCAAGACTCAGTGTCTCAACCCGGACTACTTGGACGAGAAGCGCGAAGCTGCGGTTATCGGTCACAACGGCCTCACCGTCGGCGACTGGTTCGCCTCCCAGATTCGCGCCCTCTTCGTCGGCGCACATGGCTCCTCCGAGGCCGGTATCCACGGCCGCAAGGACCAAGGCGCCTACTCTGTTATTGTCAGCGGAACCTACGATGAGATTGACGTCGACAACGGAGACGTCCTGTACTACTCCGGCTCTCGGTCCCTCGAGCACAAGAACCCAACTCAATGCCCCCCGCGTTCCAACGGAACCACTGCTCTTCACGTTTCACAGATGAACGGCAGACCCGTTCGCGTTCTCCGCAAGGCCTCCTCTGATAAGAAGAAGTTTTCCGTTTGGGCTCCTCTCTGCGGCATGCGCTACGACGGTCTCTACCGCGTCACTTGGTCTGGAACTAAGAAGAACACGCACAATGGGCTCTTCGAGCAGTTCAAGCTCGTTCGTCTCCCCAACCAGACCCCGTTGGAGGACCTGCGCGAGATCCCCAGCATCGCCCAGCGCAACGACTACACCAGGGTCTCAGAGTACTTCTGAACGAAAACTTGGTTGCGATACGACTTCTTTCATTTTTAGCTTGGGCCGATGGGGGTTTTCATACTGCTTTTTGACGGAGTCTTACGGAAGACCATCGGAGTTTTTATAGGGTGAAAGGCCATGGAACAGGTTATAAGCCGCGGTTATTAAGCCGCAAAGTGCGGCGTCAGGGTTTGCTTTTCTTTATGAGGAGTCATTGGGAAATACCCGTTCTTTTTAGCTACCTAGGCACAGATGGTTCAGTCAGCAGTCTGAATTTCCATAGGAATCGCGTTTTTGATAACTTTGACCCGTTCCCCTTACTAGACGAATCGATAGCAGAAGTGCTTCAATGGCTTTTTCCCCCGTTGCGAAATCTGTTACAGAGTGGGCTACGAAACTTTCTCAACATGAATCTCAGCCATTTGTCCTGCACAGTGTTACTGTCATCATGATGCCGGGCTTGTTGGGGCCGAAGCGTTGTCGTGGTCCGTCATTCCACGTGGGACCAAAAGGAGCACGTTTGGATCAACGACGAAATAAGTGGTATTCATCTGTGTAGTTGTCTACCCCTCACAGCTAAAGCCTCTCTTCACCTGAATCCCTCAACCCATCTATGCCTTGGGGCAAGATTCACCGTTTTCGGAGATGTCGCCGGGAGCAATGCACTTGCAGCCATCGCTGTTGTAACGAACACAGCACTGTCGAAAGTTAGCCAGTGCTCATACTACACCACAGGCTCGGAGCCGAGTAATAAAGGAGCTGGGTTGAATTTCATTCAACCCCGTGAAATAACTTACCCAGGCACCAGCGCAAGCCGCGCCGACACCGCCGCAGTTGCTCTTGATGCACTGCATCTGACGGGTCTCGATGACGTTGAGCATGCCGTTGGGGCTCTGAGCTACGCTGGCCAGGCCGGTGGTGACGCAGGCCAGGAGGAGGATCTGGGTGAAGAACTGCATGGTGGCGAGTTGTTGTGTGGGTATTTTGAAGGACTGTGTGGAAGTTGGTGATGTAGAGTGAGGTTGACAACAAGATTTCAGCATCTAATCGACAGCAGATGATTTGGATACTTATAGTCTACAAGCCGTCCGCCTAGTCCGAAGAAACTCCCGAAATCGTGCATGTCGGTAGTTTGATTCAACCCGAAGTACGATCAAAGGGGGACTGCTCAGCCTTGTCGGTTCAGTTTAATTACTTTGAGTTTCTAAGGGAACCCACATCGCGACTCCGCAGGAACAGGAGACATTCAGTTTAGCCGGGGCGAGTTGCCCAAAGATCGCTTTTGGGCAGTGAATTCCGTCAGACGCTTGGTAGAAAATAAGGCATTTGATTTAGGTTTGCAAAGTAAATATTATTCAGTCATCAAGCTCTATAGCTATGTTGCCATTGTACGTTGGTATGCTGCAATCGCGGCGAACTCACTTTGACAAAAGACAAGTTCATCTTCCTCCCAGAACGAGTTGTGCTGTGATCTGTGCTCCTTACGGATGCGCAATATAGATACGGGGCTGATAAGGGGGCAGATCGACGCTCAATACGCCGTAAACTTTCCACGTAGGGCGCAAAAAGCTAGGATGCCGTCTAGTCGGATGCGTCGGAAATGCCCGTACCTGCTGGTGTTTAGTTTTCCGTGTAATGACTCGGGTTGCCAAGTCGAGGTAATCTAGGCAATTACCTCTGCTGTTCCAACATCAAAGTTTATATTCTTCCGCCAGTTCGGTTCGGTCTTAAGATAGGTGACGACGGGCCGGGCAGTGGCCGACAATTACCCATCCATGATGCCTGTGAAACTTTTATGCTGGACAACGAATGCACGGCGACTAGATTGGCATGTTCAATCTGTGGCGCAGTGGGAATTCTTGCTCCAGTTTCAGAAAGTCTCGGTATCGCTTTCGTACCAGAACGGTCATAGCTTTTTGCCCAAAGCCTTTGCTCAAAGATTGTGCGCTTTCATCAGATTGTCGCATAGTAAGTAATGCCTATAATTGTGCTATCAGTACTCTAGGTCCGGATATTCTTTAGAAAGTGAGATGTGGTTTCTGGACTCATGCAACAGGTGTGCTTCATAGCTCCACGCCCGATGCTTATGAACAGAAGCGATTGCTGAAGCAACCCAACCGCCGACTCCAGCAAGGTATGCCGTTTGAGCTACTGTGTTGTTAATACAAACAGCAGACTAAGGCAAAGCAAGTTGACTCAGCTCGTTTTTGACTTCATCAAAACTAATATCTTCCTTCCCTTCTAATACTCTTTACCTCATGATCTCATCCTCTAACAACAGCCCGTCTCACACTATCTTTTCCAGACTGACCTACCATACCTACTACATTATAAATTCCCTCTCGAGGATTGTCTTTGTCTCACATTACTACACCTTCCCGGAGGATCACGCGTAATTAGGAGCTTTTTCAGTATACCATGCTTCACTCGTAGTGCACGGCACCCGGCGTCACTCTTTATGCAAGGAGTATCTTGACTATCGCCGACGGTCCCAAAAGCGGTAGGCTCGAATTACGGCTCGGAAGAAGTGGCTGCAGATATTGACGTGGACGTGCCAGAAGCAGGACCGGCTGGCAAGGAAACGCCAATGGCAATGGATGAACGGGTTGGGCTGCAGTCTCGCCAACCGAAATAATAGTGAGGGGCGTGCTCCTCAGAATGTTCGTTCTGGCTTCAGATTTGAGGCGGAAGAATCCACTACGAACTCAGACATAGAATCGATCGTCCGGCCCAGGAAGGGTATGGGTTTGGACTTACACAGGTGGCTGTCACTTTCAGGCGCCGTAGAGTAGGGACCGCGGGGTGATTGGGGGATTAAATGATTCCCAACCCGAGGAGGATTCCGACAGAGTAGTCTTCGATGTCACCGTGGCTGAATTCGCTTTGCATCACTGTATCAAGTATGCATAGGACGTCATGTCTTTATCTTGGGAAGTTTGAACCGGTGAAGGGCAGCTCGGCTGGATTGGTAACAGAAAGACTAAAGTCTCAATGCTTTGATTATGAGCAAAGAGAAAAGGACCTCTCTCCGATCAACCTACCGTTCTCACAATCCTTCGAACTGCAAAGTGGGAGGTGCGTGCCAATGCGGCTGGTTGGCTAGCGGTCCGATGAAACCAACTATCACACGTATGTTTAAGGAAGTCTGTGACCCCTTTTGCTGGTTATTTTGTCTTGATATAATCAGTTCTCTTACGACTCTAGTATAAGTTTCTAATAGTAAGCCCTGTTACCCTTTTGGATAATTCATGTGTCGTCTGATACTCGTTACTCTAAGCGCTAAAGCAAATGAAACATTGGTCAAAGGCAGCCGTATATCTAACCCAGGAGATGGGCGTGACCCTCAGCCTCTAGGGTTTCCCTCACGGCGGTCCTCACCTTCTCATGAACCGCCAGTGGCGCCGCGATAAAGCCATAGTTGGCCACCATCTTACGGCCAGCAACCAAGTTCACCGGGTTTCCGTCGACATCCGTGACCTTTCCGCCGACCTCTTCGAACAGCAACATGGCACCGGCGTGATCCCAAATCTTCGCCAGACGGTCGCGCCTCCTGTACGCCCAGAACGTGCAGTTCGCCTGCCCCAAGCCGAGCACCGCCCACCGCAACACCCAGCCGAGCAAGTCGTTGCCGGGGTACGATACCCCGAGGCGCTCGGCGACCTTCTTGTGGATCCCCGGTACCGCCGAGTCGGAGCCGTCGATACAAGTGACTGAGACCAGGGGGTGGTTGTCGCCGTCCGCGTGGCGGGGGATCTTCGTCGGCTGGAGGTCCAGCGGCCCGGGCAACGCGCGGATGTAGGTGCCGTGGCCCCTGACGGCGAACATGATGCTGCCTGTGCTGGTGGGGTCGATGCTGTCGTTGTTGATGGGTGCTTTCGCGTCCGCCGCCAGCATCGGGAGGCCGACGATGCCGACGCTCTGCTTGCCATCCTCCATAAGACACACATTGATGGCGTAGAGCTCGCCTCTGACGAAGGTCTTGGTACCGTCGATGGGGTCAAACACCCAGAACCTCCCCGTCGGCGACGGGTCTCCCAGGCCGCACCAGTCGATCATCTCGCACATCTGCTCAGGCGACTCAGGCAGTTTGCACAGAGAGTCGGGCTCCCTCTCGCTCGCGACCTGCTGCAGGAGCGCCCACACCGACTTGAGGAGCTCCGGGTTCTCGCGGAGGTCGGCCGCGGACTCTTCGCCGACGAACTTGTCGCCGGGGAATGCGGCGTGCAGGGTTGATGTGAGGAGGGCCTGGATGGCGAAGTCGGCGACGGTGACGGGGCTGAGGTCTTCTTTTGTCACGACGCCCTTGTCGGAGGCGACCAGGACGCGTCGGCTGAGTGTTGCAGCATGCTGGATGGCCGCGATGGCGACGGTTAGTTCGTGAGCGTATGGTCCGTCCATGATTGATTTGCGCGTCGATGATGGGAGGTTGAAGATGAGATGAGGTGAGGTAGGCAAGGTGAGTCGACGCCAAGCGGGTCGAGTTGCAGCGCAGCGGTGATCCTGCAGGGGCTTTGAAGAATGTGGCTCAGTTGCAGGAAATCGGTTGCGGGGAAGATTCGACGTTTGCAGGTGTCAGGCGGATGAGGTCGGAGATTTGAAATTTACGGGGAGTCACTGTTGATGATGGATGTTTGAATGGGGGCGATGATGTCAGAGTCCTGAGCGCGGCTTTTCTGGTTTGGCTCTTTTCGACGCAAATTTTCGCCGGAAGAATCGCCGTGGCGTGGCCGGCATCGGCCTCGGAAGCTCCGAGTGCAAAAGTGGGCCTTTCCTCCAGATTCTCGGACCCGATCACTGGGCAACGGAGGGAGGTATCAAGCGAGGAAGAGCAATGGGAGACGGCACAGGGATTGACGAATGCATAACGGGTATCAAATGTTCGTTGTTTGGTATATATCAAGCTCCACCTCTCCCTGGAAGACCAAATGTGCAAGTCTCCATAATGTGTTTCCCTGTAAAATGTAAGCTTCATGCCCAAGTCTAAGTTCTCGATGTAACACCGGAGAAGAGAGAAATCGACTCACTTTCTTTCCATGTTCGTTTCTGATGGTATTCCAGCGCCTTGCATTCCCAGCGGCGCACGCACCAAGTCGCGACAAGTGCATCGCGCATCGCCCTCTCTAAAGGCACCAAGATGTTCAAACTGTTGATGCCATCTCTCGATTCCTCAACAGCAAGACGCCTGCCGCTATCGTCCATCCAGTCGCACACGTCATTGTTCATTCTGACATCAAACAGCAGCTCCTTTGCCTCCCAGTCGCTCGTCGCGTTCAGCTTCCTCTTGACGAGCCATGCCTTGCAGATGCTGCCCTTCCCAATCTTGGAGAATCTGACCCCGACCGCGCCTATCCCGCTGCGGGACACGGCTCGGATGTAGTACGCGAAGGGCTCCTGGACGACCAGAGGTGGGCGCTCAATGTTGAAGACGTGTTTGGGGTGCGCGACGATCTCTGGGGCCGCGGTGGAGTCGCGGCCGCCGCTTCCGCCCCTCCGCTTCAGGGAGTAGTCGATACGGCTGAACTCGATTTTACGGTCATTTTCGCGGAGCGAGTCGATCTCGCGATTGGTTTCATAGACCCCAGAGTCTGTCTCGGCAGAGTTGGCTGAGTGAATGAAGCGGTCTGCTCGGCGCAGGGTATCGGGCTGCAGCGTTTCTTGGACGTCGGATGCATCTTCCGTGTATTCCGGGGGAAGCGAGGCGCTAATTTCGGTGGTGGTTGACAGCGACATGGTGTTCTTATCGGTGTCAAGGGGCCCTGTAGAATGCTTGCGTGGTTGATAGGAAAACGAGCCGGGTCAGTTTGATAGGGAATCTCCCCGCGGAGGGCTGTTGGAGCTTGATGCCAGTTGTGAAATTCGAGAGATGCAATTACAGTAATCATTGCAATCGCGGGCAAATGCAAGAACGGTCGTGTCGACCAGCGGCTTATTATGAGATCACCGCTCACGGCTGCCTACCGGTAGTAGCGAATGGGAATAGAAGCATTCCCGCCATTACCGAACCTCCGTATTGAGCAGCGGTGCGACGCCATTGGCTGCTGCTTTGTTTACGCTGGAAACCGGATGAGTGATTTGTTAATTCACTCAAGCGAAACAGTCACCTGTTCTCGCATCCGTCGCCCGAGATGTATGCCGCGGAAGAAAAAGCCATTTAGCGAGAGATTTAGATCGCAAAATATCAACACAACCTCTACAAGAAGTTAGCGCGGAAAGATGGCAATTCCGCGACTTCTGGATTTGGCTAAACATGACCTACTTTATTCACTCAATCCTCCAATATGGATAGTCGGAGGGTTTCTATTGTGACTGCGATGGGTTCAAATGGTACTTTCTCATTTGGACATCTCCATGACAAGCCAACATTCGTGGTGTTTGGGCGTGCGAAGAGCGTGTTACATGCCCACCCGTCATGATCATTCATTGGATACTTACCCCGTTTTGATTTTGAAGTCAGTGAGCTAGTTTTGGCTAAAATGCCGAGTAAAATTTATTGATATCGCTAATAGTATACCTGAGGTTCGATTCAACGGTAAACCTGCTATTGTTGTTGCGGTGGACCCGGTTCAAGATACTGCCAAATCAAAATGAAGCGGTAGTTGACAAAGACTTTTCAACTATCTTGAGTGTAGGTAGATGCAGCAGCAGCGGTGGGGTAGCCATGTAGGAGTTGGGAACTGCCATTGTCGTGCTTGCAAGGGGATGCACGTAATTGCCAATCCTTGCTTGCATATCAAATCGCAACTTTGCGTTGCAATCTGTGCGGCAACTGACGTTATTCCTTCAATGATGTCGACCTATTGAGTACGACGGTTTGACGGAGTGGCTTGATTAATCGATAGACTCAACCAAGCTCATGGATGTCTAATCGACCTACCTGCTAGTACTGAGCCATATGGCGGCAACGTTGCAAAATGTCAAAGAACTGGAACTCTAAGTCGTTTGAGCGTTGAAGGTGAGAAGTAACTCCGTAGATTGAACTGGTCTCTAGGCGTCTTGCCAACCTTACACCAATATGTAGCCAGGAAGTCTATCTCGAGACTCCAGGGTCCAGCCACTGGCACTTCGATAGAATCCTTCCGGGAAGGATTGCGCGAAAATGACAGCATTGAGTTGCACTAGCTCCCGCGGCTGTCATTCAAACGCCGTCGGGACTGCGTCTGCCTCGAGGTCGATACAGCTAAGCCTTCAATCAACAGCACCCCTCTCCTTCATCAAACGTCCGATTTACATCAAAGTACGACATTTTCTTTTTACTCAGACGCTGGTATCAATCTCTAATTCGATGATATGCAATTGAAGTCTCCTCTAGCAGAATTTCCAGAACAACTCTGCGACATGAACGCAAGTTGGAGTTAGGTGGCAAAATTATCGTACTCGTACCGGAGTCAACTCCGATACTGGGGATTGTAAGAACAACCAGGACTGATTCTTTAACAGAGTTTTCGGACAGAAAGACCCGTTCCTTGTGGAATTTAATGACACATGTGAGCTACCACAGTGCATTCAGCTGCCAAATTCTTGCACTCGGGATTTTGCCGAGTCCATGGTACGATTTCCTGAGGAAAATTCGATTCGGACGCTGCTGATGGGGTTGGTCGGCATGACATGCCCGGAGCCGGGATCAAGCCGGAAGTTTTCATCACGTCGCCTAAGAAGCTTTGGAGAATCACGTCAATGATGGGCGGTCATCGGATTGCGGCGTCGTCTGAAAGATTTCGGATTAGCTGGTTGTGGCCAGTTTGCCGAGCAATGACGGCGAAAAAAATAACATGGCGTTTGGGGGCGATGTTGAGCAACACACCAGCTGACCACCAAGCTCAATTATTTGCCGCAATGGTCCTCAGCACAGCAGCAGCACAGCCCAGACCGAGTCCAATCCCTTCGACTCGGATTGACCGTGGCGGCGTTGGCATTAGATAAGACGGTGAGACCTGTCTCTTCCCTCGGCCTCTCGCAAACCATAGCCGAGGCCAGCCGACATACGGGAGAAGGAACACACGGGGAAAAAAACCTTCGTATCCCTTTGCGGAAGTTCCTCGTCTGACAATCGACAAGGCCTAGCCTGCAAGCCGGGCGCAACATTATTCGTCGCCAACAGCGCGTACACTACGTCATCCACCAAAAGCCTTGCAGAAAACGTGCAGCAAACCATTGCGCGCCGTCAAGGCCCCCCCAGACGTCCTAGTGGATGCCAAGGGCCACGAATCGCGGTTGAACGGCAGAGATTGGAAGACCGAGAGAGCTGCCCCCACTGCTTCGGTCCCGCTACTACTGGGGCCGTACGGCGTCGTGGGCCTTTGTTCGCTCCCGTTCCAATCAAGCGGTCGGAAGCAGATACGCCGCCAGACTCGGCGTCATGCCATTATCCACACGGGTACCAGAGACCGCTTGGCACTGGCCAGGCGGGAATGTCTGACATGGTTGTTGCGCCCGTCCTGCCTATCTGAATGAAACACCATCGCCCATTCAGCAGGCGCGGAGAGAGTGTGCGAGAGAAGAGAGAGTAGCAGCAGCAGCCAGCAGCAGTGAGTGCCGTCGCGCCCAGAGCTGTGCCAACCTTGCCAATCAAAAAAGGAGGCGCACGCACACCCAACATTGTTGCGGCTCAAAAGACTCAGGGAGGCTGATCACTCTTGTCAAGAACCTTTCCGCAGAATTGATAAGCTTCTTTCAACGACGACTCTCGATTGATGTTGTCTCTCTCTCTTCAGAGGCCTCTTGTGAGCAGCGGCTGTCTCTCTGGAACGACGACGACGCCGCCGATTCAGAGTCGGCTCCACCCTCATTTTGTCCTTTGCCTCGATTGGAACAAAGTGTCCACATCCCATGGTCGGGCATTGACTGGCTGCTGCATATAAAGTGGGACAGGAATGGCCTTTTGGAGGCGCTCTTTGGTTGGGGCCTCTCATTAGGATTTCACACATTTGCCGCAGCTTCTTAACACCGCACCACTGATTGGCCGCGGCCGTTTGTTTAGACAACAATTGGACAAATTTTCCGTTATTTTTTTCATTACCTCCCAACACAGAGCGGGGTCGCAGTGTCGCCGGCCGGTCTAGGATTCGTTGAACATGCCTCGCTAAAACCTCGCGCGATTCTTGGTGGAGAGCCTAACAGTCTCAGCGAAAGATGAAGCCCATTGGCCATTGGCCGCCGACATGAACGATGGTCTGAGATGATGAGGCAGAAAAATCCTCATTGGTTGCCTCCCAGGGTGCGCAGCATGAGGCAACGACTCCATCTCCATCCGTTCCCATCTTTTTTTTTCTTGTCTCTGCGTGTCTTCCCCTTATAAAGTGAACCCCTACAGACTCGTCCCTTCAGAAGGCCGGAAACACAAAAAAGATTGGAGTCACTAGAGTTGGGATGAGCGTCGTTATGGAGATTATCTGCTCCTGACACCCCGCGTACGCTTGCCAGACGTGGAAACTCGTCCCTGCAAGATAAATGATGACACCCGGCCAATGAGCAACCTGTCGCATGTTCGGACTCTGCGATAGCCCATTCAGCGAGTTAGTCACTGATAGAATGTCCCATGTTCAGACACAAAGCCCCCCCGAAGCCACATGCGAACGGACTGCTTGTGAGACCCCGACATTGGCCAATAACCACCGTCTTCAGTAAAGCCACTAAGGCAAGGTATGACGACATTGCGGAAATATTCTCCCCTAGCCCTGCGCGCGCCGAAGGATTGGGATGGGGCAGCCCTGGGCAGAGTCAGGGACTGTCCCCGTCAACTCCACACAGGACATCTAACGTCCCCATGGATGTTTGTATGGGTACTCGTGGCTGTAGCCTGTCCCTGAATCTCTGATGCAGCAACGAGGAACGCCCAGGACGCACTCATTTGCTTGCGCCTTGTTGGTGTGAGTGAGAGTGTGAGTGTGGCGGACAGACACGTTGGGCGCGTTGAAAGTTTTTTTGCCTTTCCTGTCAAAAATTCTGCGCCGCCCCCAACCCGATCGGCGGTGCTCTCTTAAAACAAAACCCTTTTCCCATCGAGATCTGCTTTGCGCATTTCCTGTTCTTCCCTTTTCCTGTCATCCCCCTTCCTTTTCGCGATTCCCCAAGCTTCCCCCGCGAATCGCCCCTCAAGTTCCTCCACATGCAATCTGTGGCTTTCTTCAGTCTCACTGTCACTACCACGATCGCGGGAAGAATCTAAGCCAGCCCGACCGCCCGGTTGATTAGATTCACTTCCCTCATACACGCCATGGCGCAAGAAGAGCTCAAGGGCCCCGAAGGGTCTGCCGGCGCTCAGAGGGTCTCCCTCGACAGCTACGGCTCCTCTGTCCGGCACAACTCCGACGGCCTGCAGCGCCGTCTCGACAACCGCCAGATCCAGCTCATTGCCATCGGAGGCACCATCGGAACCGGTCTGTTCGTCACCATCGGTGGAGGTCTTGCCAAGGGCGGCCCCGCCTCGCTCTTGATCGCATACACCCTCTACGCCTGCGTCGTCGCCCTGGTCAACAACTCCATCGCCGAGATGAGCACCTACATGCCCGTCTCCGGCGGCTTTATCCGTCTCGCTGGTGTCTGGGTTGACGAAGCTCTCGGCTTCATGGTTGGCTGGAACTACTTCCTCTACGAGGCACTCCTGATCCCGTTCGAAATCACCGCGCTCAATCTTGTACTTTCATTCTGGAACGAGAAGGTTACTGAGCCTGGTCCGACGGCGGGTATCTGCGCTGCCATCATTATTGCATACGGGTAAGTCACCTCGGGTC